ACAGGTTTGCCTGCTGTGTCTAAAAGTAGCAGCAGCAGCAACCCAGACTGACAGCAGCTCAGTGGATAATTTGTATCACGTGTAGCCTGGTGCCGTATGCTCCGAATGGCTTTACCGCTGTCCGCTAATCCGTGACCTCTGTTATAGAGGCTTTCCAGGAGGCTCCTAAAGAGCAGCAGAATGATGTGAGGAATCTGGCCATGTGTCTGCAGGCGGTGCTGTGTCGGATGGAGGCGGCGGCTGCAGACGATCAGAAGAAGCCAGTGACTCTGGCTCTCAGCAAGGAACACAACCCGACCATCTACGAGGAGCGAATGCGGATCCAGAGAGCCGGCGGCACCGTCAGGTGGGTCGCCGTCTGACGGAACCCCGTCCTCACCCAAACAAATCTGACTCGGCTGTCTTTCCACAGAGACGGCCGGGTGCTCGGCGTCCTGGAGGTGTCCCGCTCCATCGGTGACGGGCAGTACAAACGCTGCGGAATCATTTCGACGCCTGATGTGAGGAGGTGTCAGCTAACCGCTAACGACAGGCAAGAAAAAATGCTCAGAATCAGTGAGGACCAGAAATGTAGGCAGGCAGGAGGCAGCATTGATGTCCTTGGTTGCTAAGGTGACTCCCTCCTATTCTAGGGGGTGAGGGAGAGCCTGGCTGTTTCTCTATTTGTGTACTTGTGTGTTCTCATGCGCTCTTGTACTTGTGAAACGTCATCAGTCTCAGTCCTAGCACTGTTCTAATTGATCCATATTTATGCTGCGTGCTTCTGTTCTCCCAAAGTCCTCACTTTCTTTTGTTCTTCTCAAGAACATCCTTGGCGAGGACACGAGTCCGTACTCACGGTCTTGTGAATTGAGAAACGGCCCCTAAATAGACAAGAATACCAGCTGTAAACAAGCGGTCGCTGTGGAATATGTGTGTTTTAGGTTAAAAAAAATCCTGAACCCAAAATATCAGAACCATGTGAACTTTTACATTTCAGCAGAAGGACAAAGAATACTGGTCACCAGTCAGTTCTAATGAAGCAGTGTTTCCTTCAGATGCTGAATGGAGGGAATTTTGATCCATTATTGTTGCAAAAAAACATGTTTTCTAAATGAAAATTGAAAAAAAATCCTGTTTCCTCTTATCTATTTTCTTTTTTTTCATTAGTCATTTTATTTTGCTGTTTTTTTATTTTGTTTTTTTGATGCATTTCTATTGGTCTGATGGATGAAGGCAACATTTTTATTGGTCAAGACTGAACGTTTGGATTTGGCTTGAAGTGAAGAGAATATGATCTGAGACCAAAGTTGAAAAAATAGTAAAGATCTGAAAAGCAGATATTCAGAAAAAAAAAAATCAATAAAAAAAAAAAAAAAAATCTTAAAGAATAAATTTGAAAATATAAAATGCATAAAAAAATGTTTGAAGAAGCATAAAAAATAAATTTTGAATTAATAAGAAATGTAAAACAATGAAATTTGAGTTTTGCTCTCAAAACCTTTTTTTTTTATAAAAAAGTTTTTTAAAGGTTTATTTAAAGTTTGCTTTTTTTTAAGATTTCTTTTCCAAAATATCTGCTCCATATCTGCCCTTTGACCTCTGCTCGGTTAAGCAGACACATGATTAAAGGCTGTTTGTCTGCAGGTTCATCCTCCTGGCCTGTGACGGTTTGTTCAAGGTGTTTTCAGCTGATGAAGCCGTGAAGTTTGTCCTCAAAATCCTCCAGGTATTATTTTCATTTTAAAGCTTTAAACCTGCTTGGTATGACGGAGTATTATGGCCAGACTAGAGATTTTTATATTTGGAGAATAAAGTCGTAACATTATGAAAATACAGTCATAATATTACGACAATGAAGTCATCATAGCACAACCCGTTTCAGAAAGAAAGCTTCAAGCTCCGACCATCAGATGACGGCCGACCAGCAGCACCAAACAGCGACCTGAGTCCACTTTGACCTACTGCCCAGTTTGATGCTGCTGCTAAAAGATTTCCTTATTTGCCAAACCAGAGCTAAATTATAACTTCACATGATGCTCGACATTCCTCGTTTTAGAGGAGGGCTTTTTGTAAGAGTTGTCTTAATTTTACGACTTTATTCTCGAAATAGAAAAAAGAAGATCTCTAGCCTGTCTCTAATACTCTGTGGTAGCTTGGAAACGACTCAGATCTGATAAGAAGTTTTCTTCCTGCAGGAGGCGAGCGTGGAGCAGAGGGCAGATCTGACGGAGGAGGAGCTTCGTTTTGAAGCTGCATGTCAGCAGTTGGCCAGCGAGGCGGTGAGACGAGGCTGTGCCGACAACGTCACCGTCATCCTGGTCTCTATCTGCCACTGAGCCCTCAGAAGCTTCCTCCTTATCCCTGGTCTCACATCTGCACGTCTCGTTGTTTTCAATAAACCTTTTTCTTTATGTCTTTGTGTGTTTTACATTTTTTAAGTGGCAAAAAACTGTTTCAGGACGTCCACTTAGAGATTAATTCCATTCTGATTATTTATACACCGTTGATACATCATGTTTGGATGTAGAAGGAAAACTACTGTCAGATTGGGCAACGAAAGAGCAAACATTTTTAAAACTTTAATTTATAAACATGAACCTTATATTCAGTTTTAAAGGCTTAAAAGTGTTTCAAAGCAATTCAGTTTCCTTACAGTTTATCAATTCACAAAACATCTCATCAAAGTCTAAAAACTGAATAAACATATATATTTGGTGACAAAATCATGAAAATCATTTAAAAAATATACAGTTTAGAATTCTAATTGCATTTAAAAAAATATTAAAAATGTATGCAACAAAAATTCTCAAGATTAATTTATTAGTACCGTAGTATAAAAACCTTAAAGAATTTTTAAGGTTGTAAGAATGAAATTTTTTTTCTAGTTTGTTAATTTGAATGCATTTATGTGAGGCGGATTAAAACATGGGAGTAAAAATGACTTAAATATTCAGATTTTTATTCAAGATTTTTTAGGCCTATGATGTACAATAAGCCCAATCTAGTTTTTAAAGTTGTTGAGGCAATGAGTCTTTTGAGATTATTTTTCCCCCAGATAAATAAAAATTATTGTTATTTAAATTAAATATTATTATTTAATAAACACAGAAGCTTTTCTGAATTACATTATGGATCAAATTACAATCTTATATTTATTATTTCCTTAAGTGTTTTTATGAACCATCACTGTTAGGCGCTCAGTGGGTGCAGTTCCACTCCGAGCCGCTAGGGGTCGCTTTCCTCTCCTGATGAACCGACGCTCCATTGAACCGGATTAGCTGACTGTACCAAAGACAGCTGTCACTTCAATAAAGCAACTGAAACAATTTAAATCTACAGGTTCGTCCGAAGCGAAGCGGTATGCAGAGTGGACCGGAGTCTCCAGAACGTTCCGTGTAGGTCTGCAGCACAGAGTGTCATTTTAAAAACACCGCTCACCGGAAATGAACGGAATCAGCAGCGGAGCTAACAGGCTAACTGCTAACTAACGGTTAGGATGTTGAATAAACCTTACTGAAGACTCGGTGACGTTACCAGGGAGTCTGCGTGACGTCATGGACTCCCTGTTGGACTTTGAGGAGTGCATCAAGGACTCACCTGAGTTCAGGTAACGTCTAGTTCTGTCTTGTCAGATTTTATTAATAACCGGGACATTAATTCAGCATTTAGACTAAACAAGTGGAACCAATGAACAAGGCAGCAGATGGGGCAGGGGATAGATCTGGATTTCTGATTAAAAACATAGAAGGTTGTTTTAGCTAGGATCTTTTCATCAGAAGGACCTTCAATAACTAAAAGGGAATAATTCAGTTCATTTCTATATCCCAATTCACAACACATTGATCTCAAGGCACTTTACAGTTCATCAGATCATACAGTCAAACTGACTCAAAGTTGATTGCATTGACTCAAATGCAATGCCTCACACTATGCATGCTTGTAGTGACAGTGGAGAGGAAAAACTTCCTTTTAACGGGAAGAAACCTCAGGCAGAACCAGGCTCAGTGTGAGCGGCCATCTGCTGAGGCCGACTGGGGTTCAAGGAGACAGAAGCAGAGATACAAAAGGCAACTGTAAATGGTGACCCGATCCAGGAAACACACAGCCAGGCAGACGAGCTCCGAGCCAGCTCCCATGTCAGAGGATGAAGAGAGCACATCCAGGCAGTCACCGTCAGAGAAACAGGAGTACACTGGAAAACAATATAAGAATAAGGGTGATGGAAACTAGTGATAATCTGAAGGAATTCAGCTGAAGGAAATGGATTCTGGTCCAGAGGACGAGCTTCTAATGGTGTGTTAATCACATCACCTTCAGCAAGAGCTGGAGAGGCTCAGAGTCAGTGTGAGGACTCACCTGGAAGTGGTTGAAAGTCCAGGTTCAGCCTCTGGAGCTCCTGGTGACTTCCAGAAACCAGGGTGCTCAGCTGCTAATTAAAGCTCCCTGTGGAGCAGCTAGTGAAGAACCTCCTCCTGGAGAAGTGATTCCAGTTGTTATCCAGAGGAAAATCCTGATCATGTTTCATCTTCTTGCTTTAGACTGACTCTGGATCAGTTTGAGGCCGATGTTTCCTCACTGGAGACCCACCTGGATAAGGTACCACTATCCCTGATGACACTTAAAGTTCTGTTTTTTTTTGAGGCACTGACCCGCTGCTGGGTTCAGCCTCCTTTCTCTGATGGAGACAAACCGTCAGACGTTAAACATCACATAGCGACTCTCTGCTCTGACTGTTTCTGACCAATCAGGTGATGAAGCTGTGTGGGAAGATGGTGGAGGCGGGACAAGCGTACAACTCGGCCAATAAGCTGTTCCTGAGCAGCCTGGCGGAGCTGTTGTCGTATCAGAAGAAGGAGACGGTGGTGATGGTAAGGAGGCCTGCGGAGATGATGGGAATGTGGAGCTTTTTGTCTCCCTGACTTCCTGTTTGCTTTTTCTGTTCAGAGCTGCCTGAACCAGTTCCAGCAGGGTTTGCAGGAGATGCTGAGCTTCCACACGGTGAGTCCTCCTGCCCTCTTCTTCTCCTCCCTGAAGTTCAGCTGACGTCTCCTTTCTCCCGTCTCCTCCTCAGATGCTGCTGGATCAGACCCAGCGAGCCATTGTCCAGCAGCTGTCCAGCCTCTGCTCACAGTGAGTCTCTATGAGGTCCACTATGTCTCCACCCCAAACCCCATCCTGATCCCTTCCTGCTGTCTCTGCCTCCAAGGTTCCTGCCCCAGCTGGTCGACACCAGGAAGGAGTTCGTACGGATCGGAGAGGACCTGGAGACGGCAGCGGCGAAGAACGCTCAGGTGTCGCGGCACAAAGCCGCCGACGCGGAGCGGGCGAGCCACCTGCTGCTCGCCACACGGAAATGTTACCAACACTTTGCCCTGGATTACTGCCTGCAGGTACAACCCGGAAGAACTATCACCGGGAAGGCAGGAGGGGAACCTCCCCATCATATGGAGTCAGTCTGCTTTGAACCCAAATCTTCCTTCTGATGTTTTTCAGCTCAACACCTTTAAAACCCAACAGAAGATGGACGTCCTAAACTCTGTGAGTCGTTTCTGCAACATTTCAGATCAATTCAGTTTCAAGTTTTCCACAAATAGAATCCCAGCAGCTTT